TCTTCCAGGTCGCTCACATGGGGGACCCAAGTGCAGGGGGACCCAAGCACTTGGGCCATCTTCCACTGCTTTCCCAGGCAATAAGCAGAGAGCTGGATCGGAACAGGAGCAGCCTCAATTCAAACCAGCACCCATATGGGATGCTGGCACCACAGGTGGAGGCTTAGCCCACTAAGGAACAGCACCACCTGGGCACATGCTGATTAAATCTTTAAAAGAGGTCTGGGGGCTGGCGCTGTGGTGCATCGGGTTAGCACCCTGGCCTGAAGTGCCGGCATCCCATATGGGCACTGTTCTAGCCCCGGCTGTTCCACTTCCCATCCAGCTCTCTGCTATGGCCTGGGAAAGCAGTAGAGGTTGACCCAAGTCCTTGGGCCCTGCACCCAGGTGGGAGACCTGGAAGAAGCTCCTGGCTCCTGGCTTCGGATCAGCACAGCTCTGGTCGTTGTGGCCAATTGGGGAGTGAACCAGCAGATGTAAGACCTCTCTCTCTGTCTCTCTCTCTCTCTCTCTCTCTCTTTCTTTCTCTCTCTGCCTTTCCTTCTCTCTGTGTGTAACTCTGACTTTCAAATAAATAAATAAATCTTTAAAAAAAGAGGTCTGAAAGGTGACTTTTGTAAAAGCAGTCATAATGCTCTCGTTCACTCCTATCCAGGCCCCAAGGTTCATCAGATCCTTCTAAACGAAGAAAAACATATCAAATATTAGTCCAAAGCTGGCACCCAAAGTAACAAATTGAACACTTTAAGTGTTCATACTTTATGGTATGCCATGCCATAAAGAATAAATATATAACTAAAGATCAAAGGAAAACCTCGATGTATAGTTACCCTTTTTTAATGATTTGCAGTGTGGCATGATTTACCACTTGGGCTTTGGCCTTCCAGAGTAAATCTACTTCTGTAACTTTTGGGAGACTCAAAAGAAGTAATTGCTTTTTTTAAAGGTTTATTTGAAAGACAGAATTACAGAGAGAGAGATCTTCCATTTGCTGGTTCACTCCCCAAGTGGCCACAATGGCCGGGGCTGTGCCATTCCAAAGATAGGAGGCAGGAGTTTCTTCCAGGTCTGCCATATGGGTGCAGGGGCCCAAGCACTTGGGGCACCCTCCACTGCTTTCCCAGGCACATTAGCAGGGAGATGGATCGGAAGTGGAGCAGCCGGGACTCGAACAAGCACCCATATGGGATGCTGGCACTGTAGGCAGCAGCTTTACCCACTACATCACAATGCCAGACCCAGAAGAAATTTATTTTATGGCTAACAAGGGGTAGAATGTGAATGAACTTAAACATTTCTGTTCAAAATGAAGAAAGACCCAGAACAAAGTGTGACTTAGTCAACTGTTACATTTGCTTATGAGTGAAAGGTTGATCCTTGGTCAGGCGGAGATCACTGGGAGCTTGTGAAGGAGAACCTAGCACTGCCTGGCATTTTGCCATGGGGCACAAGAGTTACCCTTGGGTCAGAGATCAGAAGGTAGAGCTAGTCCTTGGCGTTCTGGGTCTCCCATCCAGAGCTTGGTCAGGGCGGTGGGGGTGGGGCCCCAACGCTTGTGAAGTGCTCGCATTATTGACCCTTTCCTCTGGAGGTTGAGGCATTTAGGGGATTCCCGTCTTTACAGGCCGCATGACTGTTACAATCCTTGCCTTTCTACCACGGTCTCATTCCACACAAGGGATTTGCTTCCTAGGTTCTGCGTTCCCTTCATGTGAAATGATGCATGGTGGTCTGATTAGTGGCTGTGAGATGAAAGACAGATTTTGTCCAACTTTGGTATTTCCTATGCCTTTTCTCATCCCACTTTTCTTATAATTTCTGCATCTCTTTTTCACTTCTGGTATTATTTAGTGTTTCCATAGCATGTTAGAGCTGCGTTCCTTGTGATCATTTTAGTAGTTACACAACAAATCATGTGCAGAGCCTGAGCCAGTACTTAGCCAAAGAATGAAATGGAAAAACTCTGCCAAACCAAGCTTCATAATCTTCCTGAACAAAACTCTACTGTGTCATTTAGTTCGGTCTCTGTAGAGCTTGAGCCCCATCATCAGCATGTTAGAGGGGAGGGTACTACAAAGTCTGATGTACACATCATTGGACTTGCAGTTGAATTAAAAATACAATGAACTGCTTTCTAGAGTTATTAAACAACGAGAAAGGACTTATTTGAAAAAAAAAGCATTTCTCTTTTTTTAAATTGTATTTATTTGAGAGGTAGAGTTAGAGAGAAAGGTCTTCCACCCACTGGTTCACTCCCAAGATGGCTGCAATAGCCAGAGCTGCACCGATCCAAAGCCAGGAGCCAGGAGCTTCTTCTGGGTCTCCCACAGGGGTGCAGGGGCCCAAGGACTTGAGCCATCTTCTACTGTTTTCCCAGGCCATAGCAGAGAGCTGCATGGGAAGTGGAGTAGTGGGGACTCATATGGGCACCCATATGGGATGCCAGTGCCACAGACAGAGGCTTAGCCTACTATGCCACGGTGACGGCCCTTTTTTTCTTTGTAAAGACTTATTTGAAAGGCAGAGTGATGGGAGGGGGAGAGGGAAGAGGGGAGAGGGGAGAGGGGAGAGGGGAAAGGGGGAGAGAGAGAGAGAGAGAGAGAGAGAGAGAGAGAGAGAATCTTCCATCCACTCTTTCACTCCCCAAATGGCTGCAACAGCTGAGGCCAGGACAGGTCAAAGTCAAAAGCCAGGATCTTCTTCCAGGTCTCCCACATTGGTAGCACTTGGGTCATCCTCCGCTGCTTTCCCAGGCAGATGAGCAGGGAGCTGGATTGGAAGTGGAGCAGCCAGGACTTGAACTGGCACCCATGTGGGATGCCAGTACTGCAAGTAGTAGCTTAACCCACTGTGCCACAAAGCTAGCCCTACCCCAGCATTCTTATCTCTTAACTGTGAGAGTGGAACTCCGTCATCTCTAAGGTCCCTTCTAGTTCTAAGATTTCCATGATCCTGGGAATCTTGAGCTACCTCCCCTCTCCAGGCCTGTTTGCTCATCTGTAAAATGAGAGGTGGACAATCTGTGACTTTAAAGGAATGAACTTTTAGCTATCCTGAAGGGCCATTCCTCCAGGGTATTTGTTAGCCAAGATTTTACTGTACATTAATACATAGTTAAAAGGACTAATTTAATGCCTAGGAAAACATTTGGGACTGGTTAAAACTGTGGAAAAATCCGAATTCTTTGTAGGGAACATTGACTTGAGTGTATACAAGTACCATCTTGTTGTTGCATGTTTAGGCTACAGGTCTGTTTGAGATTGAGGGGAGGCGGGTAGAGAGAGAGAAACACATGCAAGGGATAGGAGTCTGACAATGTTAAGTTCTTCTTCTGACAGTACTAATCCTCTGTTCCTGTTTGTAAGGGAACTGTTGATAAGTGGTATCCAAAGTAACACTCCAAAGCAGGTGAAGTTCATTGCCAGGCTGTCCCACATCCCAGAATTTGTTCCCTGCGATGGTATTTGCTTTCAAAATTTCAGTTTGCAGAACTGGTTGGTACTGATAGAGACGAACACACTAATCCTCTGATACTGATTTTGAAGGAGGAGGGTAGGGGCAGACAGAATGAGGAGTCAAAAACTTTTAGTTAGCTGCCACAGTTCTTTCTAAGCATTGATGGAAATGAGCGACAAGATGTAAATCAGCACTTCTGCACCCAAAACAAGTTCACCTTAATGAACTACAAAGATGAAATTAAGTTCCACTTCGCTGCAGAAGACTCCCAACCCAATCTGACTCTGGCACTGTTTTCATCCTTGGTACCTCCCTTACTCATGGGCTTTTATTTTTAAAAGTTCTAAGTTTATTTTCATTTTATTGGAATAGCAGAGAGACAGGGAGAGCTTCCATCTGCTGGTTTACTCCCCAAATGCCTCCAACAGCCAGGGTTGGGGTAGGCTGAAGCCAGAAGCTCAGAACTTAATCTGGGTCTCTTGCATAGGTGGCCGGAACTTAAGTACTTGGGCCATCTTCTGCTGCCTGTCAGGGTACACGTTAGCAGGAAGCTGGAATTGGAATTGGAGCTGAGACTCCAACCAGGCACACTGATGTCAGATGTAGGTGTCTGAAGTGGCATCCTAATTGCTGCACCAAACTCCTACCCGCTTCATGAACTTTTAGTAATAACCCCCATGTGACCATGTGTACGGTGTTTCAGTTTCTACCTGGTGTTCAAACCACTCTAAATTCTGGCCACACACACATGCCTATGCATCCAGCATTGTTTCCCACAATTCCTGAACCCTCTTCTGAGATGCCACTCTGATAGATTTTATTCGTTACATCCCTCCCTACCTGGGATCTTCTCCCTTTACTTCTCCAGTTAAATCCAACTCCATCTTCCAAAATGTAACTGAAGCACCACCTCTTCCATCCAGTGTTCCCTAAGTACTCTATGCTTTAACTGCTTCAATCCCTGAAAGTCCTTCACACACTCCCAAGTTCAACATGACTCATACTTTGCCTTGTAGAATCCACCCATTAGTTTTGTCTTATGCATAGCTCATGGCCTAGAACAGAGTACCCAGTAGGAGCCCTTCTACCTCTTGATTGGGGCGCTAAGGTTCAAAGGGCAGGCCTCCAGTCAGTGTGGTCCCCCATGGTTGGCAGGTAAGGGTAGCCTTCACTACTGTATCTCATAGCTGATACATTTGTGAAAGGACTGTGATGTGACTGAGTGTGTATGAGAGACAGACAGACACACCCTGAAAAGGAGTGAAGTGGAGGAGGTATGAGAGTTTTCAGGCTGGGGGGTACTGACTGTTTAAGGTCCTGCAGTGTTCATCACCTCCTTCGTCTCCCCAGTGCGCACCTTCCCTTCTCTTGATTTTGATCTAGTTCACTTCTCCAGGAGGCCGGCTGATCAGTGGTCAGTGATGACTCATTTTTACATTCAGTTCGTGGTCAAGCCTTCAATGTCAACCTGATGGACTTGAATTTCTGTGTCTGTTTTAGCCCCACGACTACTGTCTTTTCTTCTTCTTCTTCTTGCACATTAGGTGAATCCCACCGCCCAGTGTACCCAGGCCCTGTTGAAGATGAGCTACTGCTCCCACTGCCGGGGGCTGGTGACCGTGAAGCCCTGTTACAACTACTGCTCGAACATCATGAGAGGCTGTTTGGCCAACCAAGGGGATCTCGAATTTGAGTGGAACAATTTCATAGGTGAGCTCTAGTGACTGACGTATTGGTATTGTTGGAGGTTGCTCCACTTCTGGCCACAAGGAACGTTATAATTGCTAACCATGAGCTTTCGGTTCATTTCAATGTTAGTAGTTTAGTGTTTGCCAGCAATTGGTGGCATTTCTGAAGATACTACATACAGTGACTGACAAATTTCAATAACAAGAAAGTGCCTTTTGGATATTTTTCCCCAAAGGTCAGTTTTAGTTATGCGTCATAGACTTGTTTCCACATAAATGCAGGAACACAGCCCTCAGGGAGCTGTGAAAGTGGCTTTGAAAACGTTATATCTGTTACTTTGCAACCAAATCTTCAGCAGACTGGCCAGATACCCATCTGTTATTTGGATCAGGTGCAATCCGATTGTGGCAGTTTAGGAGTTCTGCTTCTCTAGAGGATTCAGCCCAGGTTGGCTGCTCCAGTAAGAATGGCAGGAATGTGGCCCTGAAAATCCTGCGTGTCCCCTCCACCTGGAACAACATGACTGGAGCTGAGACAGCAATGTAAGTGGAGTGGCCAGTTTCAGAGACACTTGATTATGACGTGGGGGACAGGACAAATTAGGGCTAATGTAAATGTCCGGCCATCAACTTTCTGGATGCTTTCTTAGTGCATCTAATCACTCCTGAAATGGCAGTGAGCACTGTTGAAGCTCCTAGTGTTGGGTGTCCACGGAACTGTGCACACGTACTAACAGCTCACACAAATTCCCGCGTCCCCCCTGCCCCAGTCACATTTGCATAATTGCAGAATTTGAGTGTCTTTATAAGCACCTATTTTTCACTTATTTGTCCACATCAGGGAACATGCATGCAATTTGCTGGCCTGTTTTTTTTTTTAACGTGTTGGGTGGGTGTGGGGGGTTGTTGGGGAATGCTTTTTAGTCTGCATGAGAGCTAATTACCATATTAACTCTGTTTGAAAGTGCATCAATAAATTGGCTCCAACAGATTCTTGAGAACACTGACACAGGGGGGAAAAAAGATGTGAATATTAAGCACTTCAGCACAATTGTAGCCTAAATAGCTCAAAGCTAGAAGACCTGAAAAAAAAATCTTTTACACACAGCAAAGCAGAATCCCATGAAAGAGAAAGCAGAAGACCAGCAAAGACACACAGGCACAAATGGCACATCATGCTCCCAGTGAAGCCAGGGAGGAACTGTTGTTCACAATTTATTTCTCATGGAAGTAAAAGTCCATGACATTTCCAGATCAAAACTTGATGGTTTTTTTTCCCTTTCTGTCTCTCTTTCTAGTCCTCCCCTCATCTCCACACCCAAATGTCAAGTTTGCAATTCACTTCTGCTAAAGAGAGGTTTCATAGAGTTGGTGACAGCCTCTTTTCACTTTTCCCTGTGATATACACTGTCTCCAGGCAAAGGAGTAGCATTTGCCATACAGTACCCGAAATGTGCCAGTGATGTAATTTTGCCAGCTTTCCTATGAAGACCTCCGGAACAAAATACAGAGGAACACGCACCCCTTGAACTCTTTGTTATTCTAATGTTTCTAGCAGAAACTATCACTCAAGTCCTTGGTTCTTGTATTAAAATACTGATTCTTCTACCTATTTTCTCAGGAGTTTACAGCTGCATATAAACCAGATCCACACTCTGGCTTGCTTCATTCATGTTTGCAGCCATTTACTCAAAAACAAGGACTTTGGTTGCTATTGTCGTTTTCGTTGTGTGCTTTTAAAATTACATTTGGTGTTCTGCAGAAACAAAATTAAAACCAAGTGGAAATTGATAGAATTTCTGAATCGATTTTCCCCAGTTATTTTAAATGATACTTTTTGGAGGGATGAGGTTATATAATTGTATCTAAACTTCTTTTTTAATGGGTATACTATTCTTTATTTCAGATAAGCTGATATAAAAGGCTAGCTGTAATAGACATTGTTAATCTCCAGTGCTTTTTCATGAATTTTTCACAAGGGTTTAATTAATCTGCTCTGTGGTTGTAGAATTCAGTCCCAATTTACATGCCTCTGCTGTAAATTCTTTTTTTTTTCCTTGTCCTTTTTTTAGTTTCTTTGCAAGGAGTTTTTCTTTCCCTTTAAATGACTGCAGTTAATGAATGGTCAAGGGCTTTTTTTCCCCCCTTCTTTAAATCAGATCTTGGGGTTAAGTCGGGAAACTGCCTTTTGTTCTTCCAGTCAGGTCGCGAGGCTGAAGATGTGGGTTTCTGATTATTGGCGGCACAAAGCAGGAGTCGCTTTCCCTAGTGAGAAGGGAAGGCTTTGTTGCTGAGGGCAGTGGGGAGCCACTCAATGCCAGTGCTGAAATCCTGCTGGAGGACTGGGCCTTAGAAACTGAGGATGGCTTTTCCAAGTCCGCCTCCTTGCTGCTGCGCCCGCCCCCTGTCCTCTCTTAACTGTATCCGCGGATCGCCACGAATCCTCCCCTTTTGGCAAACGTGGAAACCTGTTTGCTCTTCATCTGGAAGGACCCCAAAAAGTTAAAACACCTCGGAACTCAGCTCTAGAAGAGGCTGGTCCTATGAAACCTTCCGTTCAAAAACACGAGGCTACTTCAAAAAGTTTATTAGAAAAGAGAATTAAAAGGTAAGTTTATTTGGGCGCAAAAATGTTTGAAACCCATGCATAGTTTTACCGTAATCCATTTTTTCCATGAGTTTTTTGGAAGTCCCTATTATGCATGGATTTCCAGTTTGTTGCACCAAATAAACTTACCTTTTAATTCTATTTTCCACAGAGTTACTGCAGTTCCCTCATAAACCAACCTCCCCACCCCCAAACTCCTCCCAAAAACGTATCTGGAGAATCCACGTTACTCTCAGGTGCAATTTCTCCATCACGTGCTGTGGCTGCATTAACGTTCATCTGCCTCATCACCAACCCTATTCATGCCACGTGTTGCTGCCAGTGGGCATTTAGTCAAGGACCTGAAAACCAAAACAGCAAAGCCGGCATCCTTGCATTCGGCTTGGGGCTTCTTATCAGGAAGAGGAGGAACGACTGATGGCCAATGCTAGACTTCTGCTGGGGTTAGAGCTTGGGCTCCCGGGGCCCTGGGCTGCAGGCAGCATGTATCCTCAGTCGCATTCTTGAGCCGTGCAACACGCAACGCCATGGCACCGGCCCCAACAAAGGCCCAGCCTCACTCTCCATTCCCAGGCCCTTGTGTATGGCGGGCCAGCTCACAGTTTACAAAGACGCCAAACAGCCAGAAGAATTGGGGTTTATGTTTCCTTTCAGTCTTTCACAAACACATTAGTGATCTGGCCTTTCCTGGCCACTAGGGGAATAAGTAGTTAGAAAATGGAGTGTTTTTTTTTTTTCTTGTTTAAACCTCTGCATTTTAGATGTTTATTATCTGTCTATTCATAATATTTTTATTTGCAGTGAGCAATTTCTTCTCGGCTTACGGAGGAATGTGTTTTCTGTACGTGGCCGCCTGATGCTTTGACAATGATGAACACATTTAAGTTGTGCTCCACTTGTTTACAAAAGTCTCCTTTCGCTAGCACATCAAAAGCATTTTTTTCTCTCCTCTAGTACAATGGTATATTCATGCTGTCAGCCTTTACTTAGAGGTTAGGAGCGTCACTTTATTGGCGCTTACCACAATGCAATCTGAAACTTCATTTGTTATTACTTTCAAAAAAAAAATTGCATTTCACGGAAATCTAGTTGGGGTTTTGTGACATCGGGATTGTGGTTTAGAGAAATGACCCCAGGCCTGAAAATGTTGTGGAGCATTTGTTCTAGGTTGAAGGTGAAAGGTTGATGACCAAATTGGGTTGCATTGATATGCTGATGTCCAGTGTCCTTTCCGCTGGGGAGCTTAGGTGGACGCTCAGCTGGGGGCTAGCAGTCGGCTGTGTTCTTTGAGGAGAACACAGTCTTAGGGAAAGCAGCCCTTCTTTCTTGTGGCTGACCGAGCCTACCTGAAGGTGGCAGAGAATGTGTATCTGGTTTTTTCCCCAGCATACCTTAAGTCACTAGTGTGTAAAGGGGAGAAAACAACTTGAAAACATTGCTGCTTGTCATTAACGAATCACTTTTTCTCATTGGGGGATTTCGTTCTTCTAAATTTGCACAATAGGCATCAGGCATAAATACTAATCTCCATAATCCCAACACACACGTATGGCAAGAAAACATGTACAGGGTAGTCTGTGCAAAGTCGCATTATTTGCAAAGTCATTGGAATTCCTAGAGAATTCCAAGAAAGAAAACAATTGGTAGGCCAGGATTTTCACAGCTTTGTGTTTTTGACTCTGCTAAGTGGAACCCGAGACGAAAAGATTCTAGGGAAGTCTTTGGGAGAAGCAGCCTCCTACATTGACAGCCGCTGGCACAGGACGGAAGCACAATGGAAGATTCCTGGTTGGGTTTCCTTGCTGTAGAACACAGCCCTCGTCTGGCAGTTTGACATGTCAGAGGGCCAGTGGTACCTGCTGACTAAATGCAGCCTGTGCAGTGTAGCTAGCCAGGAAAGCATGACTGCATTAGGATGCTTGCCTCCCCTCGCCCCACGCAGGGCGCCAGGAGAATCAAAGTGCCACACCGCTTACCCCAGGCCGAACTAATGCTTTCCTTTTTCTGTTGTGTTGCCCTTGTGCAAACCTCCCGTTAGACGCGATGCTCATGGTGGCGGAAAGGCTGGAGGGTCCTTTCAACATTGAATCCGTCATGGATCCCATCGACGTGAAGATCTCCGATGCTATTATGAACATGCAGGAGAACAGCGTGCAAGTGTCGCAAAAGGTAATAGAGGCCGACTCCGGGAAGGCGAGCTGGAAGCGGCCTCTGCCCCGTGACGTCACTTCCCCTCCTGACCGCGCTTACTCTGATGGCAGGTGTTCCAGGGATGTGGACAGCCCAAGCCCCTCCCAGCCGGACGAATTTCTCGGTCCATCTCTGAAAGTACCTTCAGTGCTCGTTTCCGGCCCTATCACCCCGAGGAACGCCCCACCACAGCAGCTGGCACTAGTTTGGACCGCCTGGTAAGCATGTTGGCAGGAACGGCTGTGTTTAATGAAGCAGAACTGGAAATGAACTGTAAGTTGGAAGGCTTGCAAGCCTGGGTCTTTCAGGTGTAACCTTTTGAGTAAATTGTACGTGGATGGCAGTAAATCCACCATGCTCATTTTGTAGCTCAGAAAGTTCTTACACAGGCAAGGACATGCGATGCACAAGCCGTGGCCTGAAAATGGCCCTTTAGCTCTGCTGTGTATTTATTGAGCATCTACTATGTGCCTGTGCTAGGAACAAGAGGAGGCTTAGGAATCAGGCAGATCCTGGTTCTCCAGAGGCCCCCACAGAGGGGGAGCAGCAGACATTTGAAGCTCACTAGCAGAAAGTGACTTGACACAGTGAACGCTTGGGTGGGAGAGGAGTAGGGGAACACAGGCCAAGGGCGGCGTGCTACACCAATGTCACGTGCACATGGGAATTCAGTAGTTGGAGGGTTCACAGAGCAGGGAGCCTGGGGAGGCGGGGCTGGCTGGGGTGGACAAGCAGGCACAGGCAGGGTTCTCAGAGCGGATCCTGTGTGAGCACAGCCGCCACTGTGACAGCCTTGGGAGAAGCCGCTGTGTCTTGTCGCTGTGTGTATGGGGCACGGAACCTGCTGGGCCCAGATGGTCATGGCAGTGCAGAGACAGAGCTTGCATTTCAACGGTGAATTCCTCTGAGTGCTACTGGCCTAGGTCTCCATGGGATCTCCATCCTTGTCTCTTCTGACTACAGTGAGTTGCCTGTCACCCTGGAGAGACTGAGGCCCAAATGTCCCAGAGGCCCATCTGTAGGCCGCTCGGTGTTGTTTTGCAGAGGTCGTTGAAAACGTTTTCTTCATCAGGTTACCGATGTCAAGGAGAAGCTGAAACAGGCCAAGAAGTTCTGGTCATCTCTCCCTAGCAACGTTTGCAACGATGAACGGATGGCCGCGGGAAATGGCAACGAAGAAGACTGCTGGAACGGAAAAGGCAGAAGCAGGTGAGCTGCGGCTGAGCCCATTCGCCCTCTCTCTCCCGCCCTGGCTTCCTGGCGGGCCTTCAGCAAGGCTGTTCTCCGTCGGCAGGGCAAGCACCGGCAACCTTTTTCGGCCCGAAGCGACAAATGGAAGGCCTCTAGACGTTCTTAGGAATGGGCTTTGCAACAGTTTGAGCGGCCACCTGGTTTGACAGTAGTAGGGCTGTGCCAGTAGTGTCGTTATTTTCAAAATATTTAACGCCTGTGGCCCTTTGCCCAGTGGGCAGGCCCCGGAAAGTACTGGTCGTCAGAAGTCACCATTCTCTGACTTGATGCTGTCCCGTGTCCCTCCCTTCCCTACTCAGGAACTTAAATAAGTGCCCCTTCGGAGTGAGAGTACTTGACTTTGACCCCCAGCTTCCACAAAAGGGACAGTTTTACAAAAGGTCATGATCAGATTGGAGAAATAGGACATATAGCCAGGAGAAGAAAAGGTTAGCGTTTATCAGGAATTAAAGAACTTCTCTCTGGGGCCAGCATGGTGGAATGGCAGGTTAAGCGGCTGCCTGCAGTGCCACCATCCTATATGAGCACCAGGTAGTCTTGGCTATTCCACTTCCAATCCAGCTTCCTGCTAATGCCCTGGGAAGGCAGCAGAGGATGGCCAAGTGCTTGGGCCCCCACCACCCACGTGGGAGACCCAGATGAAGCTTCTGGCTCCCAGCTTCAGCCTGGTCCAGCCCCAGTCATTTGTGGGAGTGAACAAGCAGTTGAAGATTCTCTCTCCTCTCTCCCTCTCTCCCTCTCTCCCTTGTTCTCTATAACTCTGCCTTCTAAATAAATACGTAATTTAAAAACAAAACTGCCAGTTAGGGGCCAGCACTGTGATATTGCAAGTAAAGCCATCGCCTGCAATGCCGGCATCCCATATGGGCGCCAGTTCGAGTCCTGGCTGCTCCATTTCTGATCCAGCTCCCTGCTGTGGCCTGGGAAAACAGAGGAAGATGACCTAAGTGCTTGTCCCCTTGCACCCACGTGGGAGACCTGGAAGAAGCTCCTTGCTTCTGGCGTCGGATCATTGCAGCTCCAACCATTGTGACCATTTAGGGAGTGAACCAGTGGATGGAAGATCTCTCTCTCTCTCTCTGCCTCTGTAACTCTGCCTTTCAAATCAATAAATAAATCTTTAAAAAGTGTCATTTAATTGTGCTCAGTGGAAAGACTAGAATCTAGCAGAAATCTCTGGTGATATTCTCTCACTTTGTGCTTTACAGAACATTTTCATGGGGTCATTTCTCATTTCAGGTACCTGTTTGCAGTGACAGGAAATGGATTAGCCAACCAGGGCAATAACCCAGAAGTCCAGGTCGACACAAGCAAACCAGACATACTGATCCTCCGCCAAATCATGGCTCTTCGGGTTATGACCAGTAAAATGAAGAATGCTTACAATGGGAATGATGTGGACTTCTTTGATATAAGTATGTGTTTATGATTTTAAAGTACATTTTTTTCTTTTATGCCTTGTGATGAGAACAAATGGAATGAAACCTCTGTTCCATGTGTTTTTTTTTTAAATAGGCGATGAGAGCAGTGGAGAAGGGAGTGGAAGTGGATGTGAGTACCAGCAGTGCCCTTCGGAGTTTGAGTACAATGCCACTGACCACGCTGGGAAGAGTGCCCACGACAAAGCCGACAGTGCTGGCGCCCGTCCCGGGGTGCAGCCCTACCTCCTTGCGGTCTTCTGCATCGTGTTCCTGGTTGTGCAGAGAGAGTGGAGATAATTTTTGCAAACTTTGAGCAAAAGCGTTCATCATCAGAAATTTCAAAAGGCACCGGTTATCACTTTTATACCATCCTAGTGACTTTGCTTTTTACATGAATGGACAACGATGTACAGTTTTTACTATGTGGCCACTGGTTTAAAAAATGCTGACTGTATTTTCATTCAGTTTTTGGGGCAGAGGGGATTTGTACGTTCTGTTGGTTCCTGCTACCCCAGAATCATGTTAAACGTGGCTAACAGTGTAGGTACAGAACTGTAGTTAGTTGTGCATTTGTGATTTTATCACTATTGTTTGTTTGTTCTTTTCTCATTTTGTTTGTGGGTTTTTTTTTTAATTCCAATTACGATCTCACCTTGTTTCTTACAAGAAAACCAGGGTCCTTTCTTGGCATGTAACATGTACGTATTTCTGAAATATTAAATAGCTGTACAGAAGCAGGTTTTATTTATCATGTTATCTTATTAAAAGAAAAAGCCCAACAAGCAGTAAAATTTCCATTTATCCCTGTTATTTTAGTTGCCTTATGTGGACACAAGTGGAGGTGATTTGGGATTTTTCTATTATTGTTAGGAGAGAACGTGAAGGCACAAGTAGGCTTTGGAGCCACCTGTCAGATTGTACGCGAGCGTTAGCACAAGAAGGAGGGTATACTTCGTGTACAGTTGGTGATTGGAAGAGACTGCAGACTCCCCATTTTTGTTAATATTAAGCTAAGAGCACGTATGGATCTGTTTCTTAAAGCCCACTTGTCCTTAAAGTGTAACCCATTTCCAAGAAGATTCTTGATAGAGTGTCACTTGAAAGATGCTTAAAGTATTCAAGAGATCCCACTTATCACCTGTTCACAGTTGGGTGTGGAGGTGTTTTTTTTTTTTTTCCAATTTTAACCAGGCAAATTATCACGCCACTAACCGAGTGTGCCAGTTTGCACAGCCACACTGCCCCTCTTTGAATTTCTGTCCCAGTGGCAGCAGCAAGCGGCCAACCATTTCATTTGGTCCCCCTTGTTCCAGTGGTCCAGATGTCAGGCCCAGCCAGATCCAGGGAGCCATCTGGGAGCTAGCCAGAACTGGGGTACAGCCTGGGCTCAGGGAATAGCTGTCAATACTCCGGTGAAGTTTTTGTCTGTGCATGTGTATTTGCATTTCTTTTTGGATCCCAGTTTTTTTGTCTTAAGAGAGTGTAAGGTGTCTTATCTGAGTCCTTTCTTGCCCAGCCCCCTCTGATAAAGCAAAGGACTTGCAGTGGTTCGCAGCTGTGTGCTACCCATAGCAGCCAAGGAGCCTACTTGGGGGAGAACTAGTTGTCCAGAGTTTTCGTGCGTTATGTTGTTGAGGGTGGGGGCGGGAGTTCGGGGAGTAGGTAGAACCAAGACGAGCACATCATAGTGGTGATCCTTAGCCACGTGGGTGAACTGGCAAAGGCCGTATCTGTTGTTTCAGGCCAAAGATTGACAACTGCCTTGGCCCCTAGGGGACCCTTTCCTTGTGTTCCTACCAAATGACAGCTCACAGAAGTATGAGAATGTAACAGATCACTTTAAAGGAGGTTCCCACAAGTCTTCAGAAAGACTGAAATTCTGCAAGTCTCTTCCTGCTTTGGACAGTCATTGAGATCCCATTGAGTTCGAGAGAACCAGAAACCCACAGAGAGGTTGTTTGTGTTATTGTTCAATCCTCAGTTGTAAGAGTAATTCTCTATTTTTATATTGAAACATAATTACTTGATAGCTCAGGGTCTACATTTCATTCAACTTTTTACACCAAATTCTGCAGAATGGTCAAAATGGCATATCGGGGGCTGTTGTAAACAGAGGCTTAATTTTATTAGAAGTAGCCAGTTATTTATTAAAGCATGATGTTAATAAAATAGGCATATTCTGGCTGATGTGTGTTTTTTTTTAACAAATCACAGAAGACATCAAATTGAAAAGGAACTCCATTTTATGTATGAGGAAAAAATAGATTGTAAATAGCTAGGCTGCCTTGTGAGAACTTGGAAAATGTGCTGATACTTAGTAACTACCTCAGTTGTGAGGAATTTCCTTTTTAGCGTAGACTGCTATTACTTTTCCTTGGTAGAAATGATTCTGGTCTCCAAAATATGGCTCCAAGAGTTATCCCCATAGACCTTGTTAGATTGTTTTTAATTTAAAACCTTGAACTCTGCCCAGCTGTTTTCTCTCAGTCAAGTTCCCTAAACCAATAACATTTTCTGAATTAAATAGTCTTGAAGGTTCTCCTGGACTCTTACTGAGTTATTTTCTCTCTTTGCATTTTTTCCTGTTACCATTTATTATTTAAATTGTCTCTCGCTTTTGAACTTGAACTCTGAAATAAACAAATCATAGATTTTTCCATTCAGGTCTGACTGGGTAACTCTTGGCCTCTAACCAGCTGGCAGGCTTACTCCCATCCCCCCCAAAAGGAGAAAAGGCAAATTGAGTATTTGCAAACCTTGAGAGTTTGGAGTATGAGGTAGAAGAAAAGCCTTGTTAGGAGAAGACATGACTTTTCCAAGCTTACTAACATGTGAAGGAGTTGCGTTTTACAGTCATTTATAAATTATTTTTGTTTCAAGCCCTCAACCCGCTCTGTACCTTAAGCAAAAATTTTTACATCACTTGGGTTATATTTTATTTCCAAACTAGTGATTATTTGTTAGGGTGTGGGTGTGTGTGTGTGTGTGTGCGCGCGTGCCCATCTACTGCTTCAGTCCTTAAATGGCCACAATAGCCAGGGCTGGGCCAGGGCCAAACCCAAGAGCCAGGAACTCAATCGAGATCTCCCCCATAGGTGGCAGGCACCCAGCTCCTTGGCTCATCACTACTGCCCCCAGGATCCACATTAGCAAGAAGTGGCAGTCCGGAGCTACATGAAAGAATCGAACCCAGGTACTTTCATGTGGAATGAAGATGTCCTAATAACCATGAAAGTCCAAAGGCCTACCCCAGACACGTACCATTTTGATAAGAGCAAAAAGGTGCAGGGATGAGACCCAGCTCCACTTCCAATTCTAGCTTTCTGCTAAGGTGCACCCAGGGAGGCAGGAGGTGATAACTCAGGTGTCAGACTTGGATGAGTTTCTGAGTGGTCTGGCCTGTTTCTTTTCTTTTTTTAAAATATTTATTTCTTTGAAAGAGTTACACAGAGAGAGGAGAAGCAGAGAGAGAGAGAGAGGTCTTCCATCCGATGGTTCACTCCCCAGTTGGCTTCAGCGGCCAGAGCTGCGCTGATCCAAAGCTTCTTCTGGGTCTCCCATGCGGGTGCAGGGGCCCAAGGGCCTGGGACATCTTCCACCGCTATCCCAGGCCACAGCAGAGAGCTGGATTGGAAGTGGAGCAGCCGGGTCTCAAACCGGTACCTATATGGGATGCCGGCACTTCAGGCCAGGGCATTAACCCATTGTGCCACAGCGCCAGCCCCTGGCCTGTTTCTGACCATTGTAGGTATTTGGGGGAGTAAGCCCATCTCTCTCTCTCTCTCTGCCTTTCAAATAAATTACATATTTTTAAACAGATCCAGATGAGGTAGTTTTCCAAGAAACATTGAGTAGAGTGAGGAGCAGTTTGGCATTATAGTCTTGTAGTCCCAGAGTATGCCATTAGGATGCTCTGTGTTAAGGTTCATGTTTGTTAGTATATTTTCTTATCATTTTCAGTGTAGACATTGGCCAAAGCAACTGTGAAGATCTTAGAACACAGCACATTAATACCACTCCTAATTCTTTAGAGTGGTTCTGAGTAGCTCCTTTGACCTGAAATTTACTCGTCCTATTAACATGAAGTGTTCTTAATGGTATCTCAAGCGTAGGGTGGAGAGAAAACTATTAGGAAAATGAGTAAGTTGATTCTGGTTACTTTCATGAATTATGTCCCATATTTCAGGAGTCATTAGAATATGCAAATAATTGCCCCAAGTTCATTTTTCATCTGAAGTTTAAGTTTTATAGATCAGTGTTTGAAAAGACTTCTAAGTTGATCATTAGCCAGTTAACTACATTAATCCGTTTGTCACCACGAGTGTCCATGTGTAGAATTAAATTCACTCTACTGTTGACATTTCTTAAAGAAATATCAGGGATTCTGAGAAAAGGCCGAGTGTTGTCAGAAAGAACGAGGTCTTCACGCATCAGGTCCCTCCAGGTAAAAGTTGATGAAAGATGACAAGTGTGGCTAAAGAGTAAAGACAAAGTTACGTGTGATGGCCCAAGCAGGGTTTGAATGATCCTGTTCTGTTGTCTTTGGGCAAGCTTTGCAACAGCTTGCTTGCCCCTCTGTGTTACGGTTAATTCTTGTTTCGTACATAATAGGATTAGAAGATTGTGTGTGTGTGTACACAGACATATACACAGGTTTATTTACTGTGTATTTTTCAACTTAGTTCTTAGCGGATCTCACCATGTCACATGGTATTTGGAGATGCAAACTGATTTTAATAATAGCCTACAGGGGAACATAATTAGGAAGCTATGTCTTCTGCCAAGAAAAAAAGTACATAGAAAATACATTCCAGGGTTCAAATAGAATTTCGTAGATTTACCACTGCCTAGGAGTTGCTTTTCTGTGTCACCATAGGTCACCTAAAGCTGACTATAACCCGCTGTTCCTAGTGACTCACTGCACTGGACATTTTAGTGGCAAGGTAGCCACATGAAGAATAGTCTCAGTGGGTAATTTTTGAATACGTTTATTAGGATCCCAACCATCTTTTCAGTGCATTTATCTTTAGTCTTTTTTTTTTTTTTTTGACAGGCAGAGTGGACAGTGAGAGAGAGAGACAGAGAGAAAGGTCTTCCTTTGCCATTGGTTCACCCTCCAATGGCCGCCGCGGCCGGCGCACCGCGCTGATCCGATGGCAGGAGCCAGGAGCCAGGTGCTTTTCCTGGTCTCCCATGGGGTGCAGGGCCCAAGCACCTGGGCCATCCTCCACTGCACTCCCTGGCCACAGCAGAGAGCTGGCCTGGAAGAGGGGCAACCGGGACAGAATCCGGTGCCCCAACCGGGACTAGAACCCGGTGTGCCGGCGCCGCAAGGCGGAGGATTAGCCTATTGAGCCGCGGCGCCGGCCTATCTTTAGTCTTAAGTGCCCTTGCTCTCAGCTCTTTTTTTTTTTTAAATGTAGTGAAAAATGGCTTTTATTCTGCTATTTTACTTCTGAGTACTTTGCAACAAGCTCTGGCTGCAGCATCGAATTGTCATTTAGACATATTTACTGGGAAAAGAAAAAAAAAGTTATTTTGTGCTTATTCACCTGTAGTAACCTGACCAAGAAGTGAGTTTGGGAGAACCTGTGTGCCTGGCGCTAAGCCTCAGCCACATCAATTATCCCACACAAATCCTGCAGCTTAGACATCACTCCATTTTGCAGATGAGTCAAAGGACAAAGAAGTTAGGGAACTTGTCCAAGGGTTACGTATAGCATGAGAAGTGCAGGAGCCAGATTGGAAGCAGAAACTAGTCTGCCATCAGAGCTTGTTCATTTCAAGTGCTACTTTTCCTTTGACTTCCACTTTGCCTTATTCCACATTGAATTCTTAGGAAAGGACGATGCTTGTCAGGTTGGTCCTGAAGAAAGATCAGGTCAATGGTCATAAAAGATATCTGACTCTTTGTCTTTCAAGTAAAGTAAAAATCAATAAATAGAAGGGGATGAGAATTTGGCTCAGCAGTTAAGATAGCATTTGGTTTGCCTACATCCCGTATCAGCGTGCCTAGCTCAAGTCCCAGCTCTGCTTCTAATCCAAATTCCTGCTAATGTGCACGCTGGGAGGCAGCAGGTGATAGCTCTGGTAGATGCATCTCGGCCACCCGTGCAGGAGAGTTGGATGGAGTTCTAGGCTTCTGACTACAACCTGGCCCACTCCTGAGTGTTCTGAGTGTTTGGAGAGTGAATCAGAAGATAAGAGATCTGTCTTCATCTGTCTCTGCCTTTCAAGTAAAGTGAAAATAAGTACATGGAAACTGAATGGTCATGGAAGGCCTTATTTGCTTTGATTAACCTGAGTATGCGTGAAGAAGACAAATCTGTGTGTGTGGTTTCTCTCTCTTTTTTAAATTGACACATGATACTTGTACATATTTGGGGGTATATTTTGATACATGTATACAATGTGTAATGATTAAATCAGGGTAGTTAATATTTTTCATTTCCTCAAATATATTTTTAAATGTTCTATTTTTAAAATTAATTTTATCTGCTTGAAATGCAGAGTGCCAGGTTGGGAGAGGGAGAGGGAGAGAGAGAGAGATTTCACCTGCTGGTTCACTTCCCAAATGCCTGCCACATCAAGTCCAAACCTAGGGGCCTTGAACTCCATCTATGGGAGACTGGCAGGGACCCAAGCACTTGAGCCATCATCACCTGCTGGATCAGAAGTGGAAGAGCTGGGTTCTAGTCCCGGTCGGGGCACCGGATTCTGTCCCGGTTGCCCCTCTTCCAGGCCAGCTCTCTGCTGTGGCCAGGAAGTGCAGTGGAGGATGGCCCAGGTGCTTGGGCCCTGCACCCCATGGGAGACCAGGAAAAGCACCTGGCTCCTGGCTCCTGCCATCGGATCAGCGCGGTGCGCCGGCCACAGCGCGCCGGCCGCGGCGGCCATTGGAGGGTGAACCAACAGCAAAGGAAGACCTTTTTCTCTGTCTCTCTCGCCCACTGTCCACTCTGCCTGCAAAAAAAATTAAAAAAAAAAAGAAGTGGAAGAGCTGGGTCACAAACCTGCACTCCAATATGAGACACAGGCATTGCAATTAGCAGTTTAACCCAGATGCACCACTACCTTGGCCCCAATTGCCTCAAGCATTTGTCATTCCTATGCGTTGGGGACCCTTGTACTCACGTACTTATTTTGAAATAAAAATTACTATAGACTACAGTTACCCAACAGTG